AAAGAGTGCTTAGTCCAGTAGTGCTAAGAAGTTTAAATTATGGTTTCTGAGAGTGTCTGAAGGAGTGTGCTGAGGCATCTCTGGAACCGTGGAAATTCCTACAGTGAGTCTAGTTTTATCTGGGGAGAGGAGAAGAGAGCTACAAGTAGGCCCAGTACAACTGAAGGATACAAAGAATATTCAATAGAGTCCAGTGGAGTTAGAAATCCAGCTTTAAGTTTTCTTTAGCATGCATTACTGAACCCTTGTGATGTCCGAGTACTTCTCAGATAAAATTAAATTGGTGTCTCATAGCCCATTATTGGATTTCAGTAGAGTTTTCTACTCCTCTCTGAGCAGATCTTCTTTTAGACCGGGGGCTGGAGAATTATATAATTATGCTGCTATTAGTATTATGGTAGTTACAGTAAGAACAATCTGTTCAAGTGAAGGGTTTTATAATGGACTCTGAAGGTGTTCGGATGCTGGGTTATTCTGGTGACTTCTGGAAGAGCAGTCTTGAGCTAAAACCCTGTCAACGAAGACTGCTTTATCTCCAGGTCCTGTGTGCTCTGTACTAAAGGTTGAGAGCCGCTTTGTCCGAGGGTGTGCAGCTATCTTGCTGTGGTTGGAGATGAGACACCTAAATAGCCCAGACCTAGCCCACCAAAGAGCAGGACAGTAGAAACAGTGAAAGCCCATGGAAGGTGTGGAGTCCAAAGGTACTGTGCCTCTGGGATTCCTTTTCCTTGGGGAGATGGGCAGCTACAATATTTAAAAAGCTAGAGGCTCGGCATTGCATCCATCTTAGTTTCTATATACAGCAGATTGTAGCTGCTGGCTTGGAGAACGCGGCACAGGGACTATTGTGTCCAGAGGTTTCCTACAAGAGTGCATAGGAGAGGAAACACCTTTTTTTCTTTTTCACCATAGATACTATGCATCAGTTGAGGCTTAACAAGGCCTTGAACACAAACCTGCAGCTTATGGTTGACTTTACATCATGTGTCTACCTTCAGCGGAAGAGGAAAGGCAAAGTCTTGGTTTCTCAGTTGTGCACTCGCCCTTCCCTGGCCAACCTTGTCTCAGCCTTGAGTAGATTCACTCTTTAGCTGTTTTTTCTATATCCAGGTTTTCTCCTGGCTTGATGTCACCTATTGCTGGTGTATAAATGTCATATCTGGAAGTCAAATGGATGCAATGGTCATGTACCGTTGAGAACGGTGACCTCATGTCTCCTGCCTTTTCCAGGCTGCCTCGCCTTACTGTTGAAAGGGAGGGAAGATGCTTAGGATAGAGCCTAGTTTTCCCTTTGCCTGAGCTAGGTCCTCTTGAAGAGTAACTGTGCTGGATGGTTTTGCTCCTACTAGTTGGGCTGGCAGTGAGTCAGTGGCACCTTGTGGTCAGTTGCCTCAGAGCTGCAAAGGAAGTGCATAGCATGAGCTATTACTGTTCGACATTAGTGCTGTGGGCAATAGCTCTTAGTAAAGGTCATGGAAGGATGTTGCATTCCCTTCCTGAAATGTGAATGGAAGGCAATATGGACCTATCTGCATTCAATCCACCTTGCACTGCGACCCTGTCAGAACTTCCTGCTAATGTCCTCATTGCCTGCAGTCCCTGAAAATACCATGGCATAAGTCAGAAATGCTGAGCCCTTGCTGTTGTCTGGTAATGCTTCCCTCCACTTGCCCGGCTGTCCAGCTTTGTAAAAGGATATGCTTCTCTTCCTATCCTAAAGCAAAGCAGAGTCCTGCTGTCCCTGAGCTAGTTACTTTTCAGCTGTAGACAAATGGTAGTTTTATAGTTTCTCCTTACTCCCATGGGTGTTTGCAGGACAAAAGTAATTTGAGATTTTAGTGTTTTGAGGTACTGTAGCGCCAGTGTGTGTTTATTCCTGTGCCCTGTGAATGGCTGGTAGATATAGTACTTCAAGAGTGTAGAGCCCATTCATGTTTATCTCCAACCAGAGTGGAGAGCGAGTTTGGCCCTCAGCATGGACTGGGGGAAATTATGTTGGATTTTTGTCCTGCCACATGCAAGCAGCTCTAATTTGAGTTGTTGCTTTGTGTCAAAGTGGCCTAGTGATGGGCAAATATGTTACTGCATGGGTGTTCAAGGGGTAACCGGAGGCACAGGAGATGAGTATCTGTATATCAGGGGAAAAAACAAAGCATCTGCTCTGACTTGTCCTCTACAGCAATCTTTCTCCTGTAACCACAGGAGAAGCATAGAGAGTCCTGAGTCGTGAGCCCTAATGCACCAGAGGCTGAAGTATTGTGCATCCAACGGCCCGTTGCATGGCCTCTTGCCAGTGTCCTCCAGAAGAGAACATAAGGACTGGTGAATTGCCAGGTCTTAGTTGTGCGTATCTTTCTCTCTGGCTCCTTGAAATCAGGATATGATTTCAGGATGGTATAAATCAACTGGTCACTTGATATAATGGCAAAGTAAAACTGTAACAGGTGCCTGGGAATAACTCATATGCACACCACCCCTATCTTTCCTCCTTCTCTGAAAGCCATTCCCCAGCATGGTAGAGACTTACCACTTCTTCAAGCGAGGAAATATCACTGTGATCCTTTAAAAAAAAGAAGCTTTCAGCTTCTCTTGCTGCATAACTAACTGCATGTTCTCTAAAGTGCTTTGTCTGAATGGGGCTGACTGTCCATACTCTTCCCAGCCTTTTCCTCTACTTGAGCATTAAAGTTTTTTTTGTCATTGTTTTTAACTTGACAGCAACTTGATCTCTCTTCCTGAGATCAAGTTGACTCTTTTTTTCCCTCCTCACTCAAAATTGTCAAAAGGGAAGCATCTCTTCTTGCTGTTTTCTGTGTTCTTGGTAGCTGATGGCTGCTTTGTGACAGAGCAGCTGGGGTCCTTTATGACAAGCTGAGATGTCTTCCTGACTGGTACCTCCTTTCTAATTTCCACCACACATGAATGCTTTGGATGGGGAAGGTGGGTAATAATGTCTTCCTCCCCTGCTGGCCTTTGTCTCCAATTAGCTATCACTCAAAGACATATCTTTCACTGTAGTGCTGATCAGAGGATATGGGAAGGGATACGTGACTGATGGTTTTGAGCATCTCAGCCCACCCAAGGGTGGATGAGCTCTCTTCCTCCCTGACAGAGGAATCCCTGACATGGGAGAATGGAGATGACTCCAGGGAAGAGGATTTGAAGGGGATAGAGTTGTATTCTTCACTTACCTCCTTTTAGGAGGGGATAGGAAATGGGTTCCTCTTCCATTCCTTCACAAAGGCAGCCGAAATTGCCTCCTGGGAAATATCAGTAGCACAACAGCAGAGGGTACTGCAGGGCCAGCTTGTTTTGGCAGTGTGCACCAGCCCAGCTCTCCCAGACGCAGGCTGCAATAACAGGGAAGCAACGCAGCCATGCAAGGGCTGAGTTTTGCCAGTGGGTGAAGAGCTGCAGAGCCGTGTGCTGGGCCTGTCAGATACTGATGTATGCAAATGTCAAGTGAGGAAAATAGGCTTTGCTCCTAAAACCGTGTGCCCTGCTATGTTGACATGGCACTCCAGATCTCAGAAAGTGAAGCAGCCTGTTAAATGTCAAGAGTTATGACCTTTGTCTGGGAATTTCACAAGACGCAGAGCATCTCAGCCATCTGGGGAGGAGATGGAGGCCTGTCTCGGGTGTGCGACTCCTTCGGTTTTTGTCCTCTGAACTGGGCTGACCCAGGGGAGGCTGGCTGCAGCAAACACACGTCTATGTGCTGCAGGACTCAGAATGAATCTGGCATTACCTGGCAGCCGGTGGGATTGGTCTCCATCTGACCAAGGACTTTGCATTTGATAGAGACCTGGTGTCTGGAGGTGATGCCTCAGAGAAAGCACAAGACACCTGATAGGAGATAACTGCACAGGAATTTACCAGCGAGGGATGTTTTCCCCTAACAGCGAGTCACTACTAATTTAGTCTTTTCAGCTTCCTTGTGCTCTTCTTTCCCCAAACATAGGGACAAACCGGTGACATGTAAGGAAGAGGCTCTGGGTGCTCCTCTGCTCTGCAAATAACCTCACTGCTCCAGCGATAAACGGAGCCTTTAAAAAAACATTTTAACCCTGGACACAACGAGATGCCCTCGGGGCGGGGAGGGAGGTCTTCAGCAGTATCTAGTTTTGCCTCGATGAAGAAAATGTTACAGTGAACCCCCAGAACGGACGGCTTGCAGCCAAACGCCCCGGCCCTCACGGCTGGCCCAGCGCAGGGACGACTTCCTCAGAGGGAAGCTGCGGCACAGCAGCAGACGGGCGAGAGGCAGGCGGTGATGGCGGGGCGTGGGAGGCCCGAGCCCGGGCAGCTGCTGGAGGCCATTTCCTCCCCCCGCCCAGCCCGGCTGGGCTGACAAGATGGCGGGCGGTGGGCCTGGGGGCGCTC